AAACTGAGGCTTAGAACATCAACTGCCCCAAATCTATAGCCAGTAAGTGTTGGGGTGTGAAGACAGTTCTGTCAGCTTCCGAGCTACTGTATGTAGCACAGATGTCCAAATGTTATTCCTGATCCTCTTGTATCCGAAAGGAAAACATTTTGAACTTGTAACTGCTTGATGTTCACATTTAACTGTGCTAAGTGCAAATTAAGGCAGGACTCTAAAACATCAATCTGTGTAGTGGTGCTCTTGGAATCTCTCTGCTCAGGAGGATGCTCTATCTACTCATGAGTGTGTCTCCTCTAAAAGGGCCACAGGCATACTTGGCCAGGGGCACTGACCTGATCCCTGCCTAAGAGGAGAAAATGGCAGCTACATCTGTAATTCAAAGCTTTCCAATGCCACATTTATAACGGTCAAAACAGGTGAAACTGACTTTAGTGGTAGATCTGCCAGAGTCTGACACATGGCTCAAACGCCAGCCCATCTCCGGGTGCAGTGACCACTTGTTAGGTCCCAGAGCTATCTATGCTGGTGGCTCCAGAGTGGATGGTGCAGTATCAACTCCTGCTCAGAGTGCCCACTTACATCACTTCCTGAACAGTCTTGTTCTCTAATAGGAACCACGTGAGTAGCACACAGTTAGACTCTGCTGTGCCTGAGAATGGCCTGAACTTCCACACTTAGGAGGATCGCTGAAGTATGAAATTAGAAATCTGGACACTAGGACATCAGAGACTACAGACACGGGGTGCTACCGGTACTATAGGCGGTGTCTACTGTCCTGGCTTTAAGGCCATGTGCTCCTTGACAACAGAAGCAGGGAACGCTTCTGTGGGAAAGGATCTAGTGGGAAGACCAACGTTCTTCATTCACTGGCCTTAATCTGTATCTCAAGATGCAGTACAAGTGAAATTCTGTTGACTGCAATTCAAGGTCTCATAAGGCGAGACCTCCAGGCATAACTCCTAGGATGTTTGGAAGCACTACACAGCATCAGACTTTCAACCCTTTGACAAAGTACACAACAAAACAATTTAAGGGAGCAGAGATTTATTTTGGAAAACAGTTTCAGAGGCTTTGATCATCATTGCTCTGTCCCATGTGTGTATGAGAAATACAAACAGAAATTAGTGCCTGAAATCAAAACAGCAATAGGAGAGAGGAGCCACGGGACCCAGATGGCTTTGTACACTTGCTCAGCCCCATGTGATTTCAGATAACTGCTGAACCTCATGCAATGGGATGGCATCTCCAGAATGATTTATCAAGATGTTAGCAGATACAGAGGAGGGAGAGATGATTTATGTGAGGCCCATGGAATCATGCCAGGAACAGTAAACACTCAGTAACTGATGCCAACTGTGATATGGACCTCTTTACTGACACTATTTGATCCTGAGGATAATTTGGTTAATATTAAGTTGCTAACTTTGAAACATACAATGCATATATCAAGGTTATAATACATGTGTGGTATTGGCTAGATTGTGTACCCTCTCCATAAAGTCTTACTTGAACCCTTGAATCCCAGGCACCTCTGACAGTAATTGGAGACAGGACACTCACAGAGGTGATTTAAGTTAAAATGAGGTTAACAGTGGGTTCTAATCCAATTTAATCAATATTCTTGTAAGAAAAACTCTGGTTACACAAGGCACCAGGGATGAGCACACACACTGGAAGAGCCTGCAGTGACATAGGGAAGGAAGGTGGTCACCTGGGAGCCTGAGGGAGGGAGTCCTCAGCAGAGGGACCAGTGGCCAACAAGCTGATTTTGAGCCCCAGCTCCAGAACCAGAAGATATGTTTCTGATGTAGAAGACACCCTGACTGCAGCGTGTCATTACAGAAGCCCCAGCCAACTCCTGCAGTACACACAACTATTTCTTCACCCAATGTTATAAAACAGCATTTCATTTCAATTAACCAAAAAGCCTATCTTTTTTAATATTTGTGTGTGTGTGTGTGTGTGTGTGTGTGTGTGTGTGTGTGTGTACCTGTCCACTTAAATAGACCTAGGTTCAATGTCTAGCATCTTTTAGCATCTTTGTTTCTAGGTTGAAAGATATTTGGCAAGGTTTCTAACTGCTGTGAATCTCGGTTTTCCTCTTTAAAAGAATGTGCATGTGACTGGGCTTTGATCAACACTCTTGGCACCTAACCAGGGCTACTTGTGCACTGTACAAGCATGCAATTCTCATGGACTCCTTAGATTCCTCTAGGTAAGATATGTTACAGCACTGGAAACATTGGGGAAGGTAGGCTGGTAGTCATGAAGTTGTTGCTTTTAGTGGGTATTTCCTGACATCTAAAGGACTTACAATTTATACTGTATCAGCTTCCCAACTCCTTTCTGCCCCTAGCTAGGCTCACCACCTGCCAACCCAGCTTCTCACTACTAGAAGCTAATTAATTTCCCTAAATTCAAGTCTAAGCACACTGCTCTCTTGCACGTGCCTTTCAGTGGCTCCCTATGACTGCCAATATTAGTAAGTCTCAGGTCCATACTAAACTATGAGTGCTTCTCACACAAGGTATCTTGCTGTTGATGTTCTGTGCCTGCCTGGCCTTGCTATATGCAATCTTGCCCTGTGTGTCATTTGGGGACTGTTGTTTATCCTTTACCCTCTCAGAGATATGGCCATAAATTCCAAATTGGGATTTGTAGTTCTTTTAATGAAAACATCAAATTTCTCCTCAAATATTTCCTTGTTCTGTCAGAGCCAGCGAGCTACGCAAGGACATCCTCTGTGTTAACAATCTATGGGCTCTAATCATTAAGAGCATAACAACATAACAGTATAACAGACATTTAAGAAACACTGAATGAATGAACAAAGGAACAAAAGGAACAAATGCTTACAATTGCATTAAGGGATCATCACGTTTAAAGTTTAAAAACCGTAAGTGTCATCAGATTGGGCGTTAGTGATCCTCTTCCCTGAGTCTCAACTCCAACATGCACATTAACTCTTGCTATTGTTATTTTGATTAAATGACATGTAGATAATGGCTTAAGACCCAAGTCTGATTGAGAGTATATGCTAAATAAACGTCCTTTTCATTCTCTGTCAGTTTACCAGGGTCTCACTGTGTGGTATCACTCTCCTTCACAGATCACAATATTTAACACGGTAAATGCCTTCAATTTGGTCCTTCATGTCAGCTATGAAACACTGATGATTATCTCTAATCTTGTACTGATATGTACTACATTAAGAAAGCAATGTGTGAGCTTCCACGTCTATTCACCTTGCTAATGGCACTTACTACACAGGCCTGGATTGGTGCCCATGAAGAGCAACTGAAATCAAAACATCAAAAACACTAGCACAGTATCTAGGACATCGAAGCTGTCAGATCGTCACAGTCTGAGCAATGACACGCAGCTGCACCTGAAAGCCCACACACCAGATTCTAGTTCTAGAAAGGACCTGGGGCAGACCTAGCAGAAGAGCCCAGCGAGGCCCTAGAAAGGAACTGGGATTGAGACTATGTGTCCGAGGTCACTCAACCCGACTCGTCAGTTGTCAACCTATTTATTACCCAGCCTCCTCTCTTATACACAGCATTCTCCTTACAGAATTGTCAGTATTTGTGACATGTTCCTCTGGCCTTGAAGATGGGCCTGATGAGATGTAGTGAAACAGTGTCAGGCATAAACTAGTCATTCAGCAAATGTTGTTGAGGTGGAAGATTTGCATTGCAAGGATAAAGTAGACTAAAACTTGAAAGATTTGTGGATGTTTATGTTTTTAAACAAAGCAGAGAAATACCGACATATTTCTGAAGAGTAAAATCCTTGGGGTAAGGATCTAACTCAAGACTGATTGCATCCGCATCCCGTTTACTGTGTGATTTCTGACAGGTGTCTTATTTCTGAGCCCTACTTCTTTACCTCAGTGGGAACACTATACTGTTCTTCAGCTAGTGCTAGGACAGTTTCATGAGGAACTGTGGAGCAGGTCTTACAGCATTCATGACGTGCCTGCCTCCATCAAGCAAACTAAGAGCAATTCCACCCCAGGCACACCAATGATATGAACATGAGGAACGAGGCTTCCACTGGAAAAGACCAGCTGTCAGCCAACATCTGAAGGTCGCTTGTCATGGGTTATATAGAAAATTGTATGTCCTGAACGAAAATGATTATTTTTTTAATATTCCCACCTACCCTGCATCAGAGTTAATGGGAAAGAGACTCCATGTGTTCACAGCTTGAATGGCACCATGCATGTTCACAAGGGCCTGGGTGCTGCATTCTAATGGCCACACAGTCTCTATGCATGCTTTGCAGTCACTGCAGGGGCAGTATTTGATGTGTGTCTCTCTTTGTCTTCCATTCAGAAGCTAAACATAGAACACAAGGTTTCCAGGCACACAGGAAACACTGAGTGGAATAAACACCAGGTTCACTGACCAATGGGCATTAAGGCAGAGGTGGAACGGGAACAAGAAAGCACTGTTTTTTGTTTGTTTGTTTGTTTGGCTTCTGATAATAGTTATTTCTGATTAAATAATTCTTTTGAAAATTAATCAAACTAACATGCTACTCATAAGGAGCATTTGAAGCTGCTGGAGGCAGGGGAGTTGCTGCGAAGAAGGGGAGGTGTTAGTGAACAGCAAGCAAAGCTTCAGCATTTCTTGCTCCAGAAAGGTAGTTGGTGCGTTTCCCATGTGCATTCTGGGGCCTTGGGACTGACTAATCACACCCTTTGAGGCCATCACACCCCTTCAGATGATACTAAGACTTTAGTCAAATTTTCAGAGGACATAAAATTCAACTGCAAGTCCTAAAGCCCACATGCTTTACCAGGACAGCAATCCAGGAGACGTCACCCATGATAGCTGCAGGAGAATCTGCTTCTTCGATTAGAAGAAACAAGAACAAACAGGGAAAGTCAGACACCCTCGCTAGCTGACTGCCACATCGCCCCAGAGCACATCCCTGCGGAGGGGCTGGTGTGACGGTGACGCCGTAGGGCTGGGACACGGAGTGACTCTTACCTTTGGGCTGGGGTGCTGTAGCTGTTGTCATAGGAATCGTAACTTTGTTCATCATAAGCTGTGCCATATCCATCATCATAGTCCTAGAATACATCAGAAGAACAGAGACATTCAGACAGCATTCTGCCTCCAGTGAATCTGCCTCAGTGACATTTAAGTCCATGTCTAATTACAGTACAAAGAAAACCATGGGTGTGGCCTCAGTGCAACTGCGAGAATAAGATGCTGCAGCGTTCTCTCAAAACAGCCAGGATATGCTAGAAAGAACTGCAAGGATAGTCACTCTCAGGACTGGAAATTAACCATGAAGCTGCAGAGATCCAGACAGCATTTATTTAAAAACAAAGAAAACCATGGTTAAATCCTGGAAAGATCAGAGCTGTGTGACAGTCTCACATAGCGGCAGCCTGGGGGCCACTGGGTTGAGAGGTGGCAGCTGGAACACCTTTCCGTATTTCCCAGTGAGCTATCTTCAACTGACCTAACTTGGCAGTGACCTTAGTACAAGCAAGCTCAGTTCCCAGGGTGAGCTGAAGAAAATGATCAGAGCCAATTGTTTAAGATTTCAGCTGCCCTAGACAGTGGGGAAACACAGGGTAAATAGGCTAATTAAAAAAACTGAAAAAGAAGAACAAAACATTCCTGGGAATCCGGAGGGGCATGACCATATCGGCACCCATATCCACGATTCCAGGAAGGCTCAGAGCTAACTCTTTTGGCCTAGCCTGAGATCCAGCCAGCACAAGCAGGAAACAGGCATCTAAACAGAGTTGGGGTGAGTGTTGTGCAAGTGCTAACACACATCCAAAGGTCCCTGTCCAGGACTGGGAGATTTCTAGGTGTCAAATGAAAGCAACTTCCAATCGGAAGCTGGACCCAGCTAATGCAGAGGAGACTGTAACGGCAACACAGGACAAAGGAACACCTGGCAGAATTTGCTTTGAAAATTCCTAAACATGAAACAAAAGCAAACAAAACCCCGGAAGAACGGGACTCCCAGGGTCACTCAATTATTAATATAGTGCATCTAGTTTTGAGCAAGAAATTGAGGTGTGTAAAGAAGACAGAAAAATATGGTCTCTTTATAAGAAAAAGCAGCTGTCAATACAAACTGTCTCTGAGGAAGCTGAGACATTGAATTTACTAGACTAAGAACTTAAACCAACATCTTAAACAGAGTCGAGGAATTAAAGAAACCCTATGAACAAGGCAGGTATGAGCACAGTGCCTCACCAAACACAACACTACCATGGGCACAGAAACCAAGTCCTCTTTTGCAAAGGCCAATAACTGAACTGAGAATTCCCTGGAAAGTCTCATCAGCAGACATGCTTAGATGGAACAGGTGAGTTGTTAGAGGGAGGGAACAAAGGGTGACAAACTATTAATAGTGCACCAGGGTCCTGTGAACCACCAAGTCTGAGGACATGCAGAGAAGAGGAAGGTCAGAGAAACAAATGGCTGAAAACATCCACCATCTGATGAAAATCTTTACACGTACAAGAAGAGGAACATCTCTAAATAGTAACACCTCAGAGATCTGCATGCAGAAAGGCCAAGGAACAAGGAATCTCAGCCAAAAGAAGCACCTGTCACTTAGGAAGGGTCGGATCTCTAACCAGAACTGCAGAGACAGTGGGAAACCGTACTCCAAATATGGGAGAAGTGGTGCCGAGAATGAGGGTGTGGTGGGGAGCACGGCTTAGTGAGGAGTGCATGGCATGCACAGGGGCCTGGGTTAAACAGCAAGCACCAACGGGCAGAAAGTAACCGATTCCCAAAGAAACTCTCCTTCAAAAACAGGAGAAATGACTACTTTTCCCAGATAAAAACGGGAAATTTGCCAAAAGCAGATATACCATTAAAGCAAGATTGAAGAGAGTCTTCTAGGGGAAGGAAGAAGCCATTAGTAATTTGAATCCACATGGAAAATTTCATATTTAGGTAAATATAAAAGACAATATAAATACATAACAGATAATGTCATGCATATACAGAACAGTTCCTCTAACAAAAGCAAAATATACATATATTTAATACAGAGCTATAGTAATCAAAACTATCATACCAGCAGAGAAATATAGAGAAACAAGAAAAAAAGTGAGCTCAGAAATTGGACTTTACATTTAAACTTCATTCACTATTATACAAAAGTGCCAAGACAATTCACAGAGACTTTTCAGTAAACGGTGCTTGAATTGCTGCAGATATATCCACACACAAAACATGATGATCTACTCCAATCTCACACTCTATGACAACATCAATACAAACAGCTGATATAGGGGAAAAGTTACAGAACTCCAAGAACACAAAATATGTATAAATCCTATGACCTCAGATAACGCACCAATTTCTCAGAAATATCAGAAACACAGAAAGCTAAGGCATATGAAGAGAAAATGCAGTTCAGACAAACTGAAAGCTATTAGCCAATCCAGCGCATGGGGGACATACCTGCGAGTATGCACGTGGTTACGGTCTATTGTCCAGATACAGAAGACTCTACAATCAACCCAGAAAGAAACCTACAAAAGCAACCCGACCGCTGCACTCCTTGGCACACACCTTCTCACTGTTACTGTAATTTGAGGCAGGGTCTCACAACTGAGATCAGGCTGACCGTGAACTCACAGAGTTCCACATACCCCTGCCTCTCACTATTATATTTAAATGATGGTGGGGTTCCAAAGAATCCATAAAAATAATTTTTCTATAAAATGAAACCAGACATGTTTCACTAGCACTTAGGTCTGTGAACCTAAGTGATCCTCCTCTGAAACTGATTCTATTTTCCCGGGTTAATTACACAGTGGCTTGGTGTTTACTGTAATTTCTTTAAGATTTGACTAGTCTGGAAATAACCTCTTGGAATGGGAGTATCAACAACTTAATGCTTTCCGAGTGTATGTAAAATCCCTTGAGGTAGGGAATACAGGCTAGTGGTGAAGGAGGATCCGGCATCAGCTCAGGTCCCACTGTTTACAATCAGTAATTCTACACAAACTCATACATTTACCAAAACTTATTTTTGCATTGAAAGTGCAAACCCTTAAAGTATCCTGAGGCGATGAGAAATTACATATAACATAGCAAATGGAGAACCACATGATGGACAGCTGACATTATCGATCATTCTCAAACAGGTATCCCACAACAGAACCTTTTTGCTGAATTTCAGGTAAAACTCACAGGTGAAGGACATCAGAAGCTACGATATATAAAGGTGAATCACGTGACAGGTCAACGGTACTTTTTAAAAAAAGATATAATTTTATTTGTGTGTGTGTGTGTGTGTCAATGTGCACACTGAATGTGGGTGCCCAAGGAGGCCAGAGGAGGGAACTAAACCCCCTACAGCTGGAGTTGCAGGCAGTCGTGAGCTGCCCAGCCCTCTCCAAGAGCAGCAAATGCTCTTAACCACTGAGCCATGACCTCTCCAGCCTCAACAGTGTTTAAATGAAAAAAAAATGGATGCAAAAATTGTACATAGCTTTCAGGTACAATTTTATTTAAGGAGTGGAAATGCATGTCACCGTTTTTCATATATTAGTCATTATACATTCTCTTTTAAAAATAATTTATCAGACCTCAATTTATCTGATTTAAAAAAACATGATTATCTAAATAGCAAGTGACAGTGTAATCTTCCAATTTTGTAAAACAAATCTTTGCATGAACAGATAGTGCTAACTTGCAGAAATAAGGGTTCTATCATTTAAACAGGTTTCCAATCATTTTGTAATGTTTCATCACAAAAGAAATGGGTATGTATCAAAAAGCTTTGGGTTCTATACCATGATAACAGTCCATAGTACGGTATAAAACCGGGAGGGCTCAAAGAAAATGAATAAGACCGTAAACAGAAAGCAAGCGAAAGCGCGTTCCCTGGCTGAAAACAGAGGAAGGAACCGGGACCAGCTTAGTGGAGCTGGAGAGTGGGAGTAGGCAGAGCCCTGCCAGCCCTTCATCAGGGTGCTCTGAGGACTTGATGAATCCAGAATTTTGCCATTATTTTCCTTTTCATAATCTTATCTTTCAGTGTACTCAGTAATTGGTTGCTCATCTTTTCTTATTTATATTAAAAATTCCTTTTTCTGGGCGTGGTGGTATGTTCCTTTAATCCTAGCACTTGGAGGCAGATGCAGGCCATCTCTATGAGATCGAGGCCAGCCTGGTCTACATAATGAGTTCCAGGCCAGTTGGGACTATACAGAGACCGTCTCAAAAAATAAAATAAAACAAAACAAAATTAAATAAATAAAAACAAAATTTAAATTAATAAAAATAAACACGAATTCCTTGTAGACATTTCTGAGGTTATTATAGTGAGAATTTTGAAAAAGAGTGGGTACGTTATAGGCGGTAATTTTACATACAATTGAGAACATCAAAAACAGCATAGAAGGGGTGCTAAGATTTGGTTTAATCACACACCTCCGTGGCTCTGTTTTGTGGGACTGAGACGGAAAACTACACCGCACTGCCGGCCAGCATGTCTTTGACAGCCAAAGGATTCTCTTTCCAGTGGTGTGATTTCTCATATGTCTGTGTTTTCTCTTAAAGAACATTCTCTCATATGACAGGACAGCCATCTACTTGTCTGTCTCATTTCTGTGCCTCCAGTGCTGAGTTTCTATGGTTCACACTGTTTCTGATCTTCTGCCTGTTGTTGGCCTAGTGAGTATTCCAGGTTGAAGCTCAAACTGGTGACTTCACTTGTGTTATGCTATCTCAGCCACACAAAATCAGTATATAGAATCTCATAAGCATGGCACATGACCTGCTGTGCACACCTCTGTAATTGTGACTGTGCCCCATAGACAGCTTGCTCTCCGGCTCACCTACATAGGAAGTGAGGGTGTGTTTCAAAGCTTCCTTCACCAGGCAGTCATCCAGTGAAGACTCAATGATGTTCCCTGGACACAACACTCTGGACAGACACAAGACAATCCTCTAAGCCTCACACCTGCATTTCTCTCAGCTTCTGCACAGTTCTAGTCATTCTTCAGATAGCCAGACTGATATATTTCAAGCCTACCTACTCAACTTCCTCTGGGAGAGCCTTCAGTGGCCTCTTTCT